TATGGCAAACAAAAATTGACAATTAATTTTAAAACACTTCATTTTTGTGAACAATAATGCAATTAAATATTATGGTTACGCGCGCGCATCATCTGAAGCAATTACATCAAAATATGGTGATCAAATCATTTAATAGGGACGCATTTTCTGCGTCCCTACAAATAATATTGTACAATTCTCAAGGCAGTGTGCCCTTTTTGTGACCGGAGGCCACCGCGCGCGCTTTGCACGCGAAAAGGGGTTGCAACGTGTGTCAACTACATTATATATTAAGGTTGGATTATTGTTTATGCTATCTTACTATATATAAAGCGAGACGATATATATATATGGATCCGTGCCATTTTACTGACACCACGGCATCAACTTTAACGCGACTTTCCGCAAAAATCGTAAAAGATATACAACTGAAATTTTATGACTGGGTCAAATATTTTAATGGCCTTCAAATCAGCATGAAAAAATAAAAAATTGGCCAAGGAATAAGAATTTTAGTGCCCAAAATTTAGACTCCCAAGTGTTGTCTAAAACGTAAATTAAATAGGTAATAATCATTTTAGTCTCTCGCTAGTCTTGACACCACTTTAGGGTTAAACGGGATTTTGCATCGAAGCCAAGATTGACAAGATTGTTGATTTGTCAATTCGCAGAGGAACGATCTGGAAGGGTCGATATCGTCAATCAATGCTACTCGATTGTTTGCTCTAACCAGAGCCCTCTCGCTTGCAGTAGCGCGTGAAACAAGCGCGTCACGCAGTACGCGTAGGCACATGGCTATGTGAACTCGATTGTCAATTTTACTTTTGTGTTAATCAAAGCTAATAAGTAGTGCATTACTTTACGAATTGATTTAATAAGCTATTTAGTCTTTATTTGATTTCCTGAATCGTATACAGTCAAACCTTTATTTTGCTCTAACCAGAGCCCTCTCGCTTGCAGTAGCGCGCGACCGCCGAAGTACGCGTAGGCACATGGCTATGTGAAACCTTTATTTACTGTGCCTCTTTATACCGGGTACCTCAATATACCAGGCCTTTTCTTCCACCAAATTTGTAGTCGATTAGTTGCTCTAACCAGAGCCCTTTGGCTTGCAGTAGCGCGTGACCGCCGAAACGAGCGTGTCACGCAGTATAGTACTGTCAGGCTATATATTTCCAGTCCTTTATATTACACCTTTAGTTTATGGACACGTTCATTTGAGTTTGAGGATATTGGTAAACAAAAATAATAGCGTTTTCGACGATAGTGGCTTAATTTTGACATCTATTAACCTAGCATATTCAGAAGTTCTGAACATTAGCCACGTGACCCATACTCCCATATGCACCGCTCAGAAAGAAAATCTATTGTTGTTAGGCACTATAATGATCAAATGTCACATTTTGTGTGACTTAGTTAACTGCAGTTGTCTAATTATCATTCCTTGGTCTGAAATATAGTAAATTAGGTCAATCTTACAATCATGATACAACATTGGTTAATGGGCACGGATCGAACGGTTACAAGGCAATATTTGGGTAACTTTGTCACACTCATGATACCATACCTCTATTCTACTGTGAGGTGTCCTAAAAACCCTTTCAACTCATTATTTGATGGTTGCTCTACCAATCATAGCCCTAAAATATATCGTTTTGAATAGTTAGCTAATACAGGCACTTGGTTATTGGGAAATGAGGTTAATTCTGTCACAATATATGAAATTTTAAATTTTGGGCGAATTATTTATATTTGATTTTGGTTTGAAAGGCGCGAAAACTTTATATGATGACAATGTAGTTGATGCAAGTTAAGATCAGTTGATGTTTACATTGTCTTATTATATAACTTTATTCAAATCAAAAATAGAACATAAATGAACATCTTAAAGATCTGATAAGTAGCCAGAAAAAAAGAAAAACTGATACACAAGCTATAACAACTTCTTCCATCCCGCTCTATCAGAGGCTAAAAGTCTTAAATTGTACAAATCGTCTGTATTTACAAATGGAATGTTCCTGCTACCTAAATCAAATTTAATAGTCTTAAGCAAGTTCGACTGGTGTCTACCTACTCTACCCTTTTTAGTACTCTGACTCTCTACTGCAAAGTGTAATGCAAGCTGTGCAGCACATGCAACACGCTCACTGAGTGGAACCACTTTACATTGTCACAAAAAATTATACGAAATCGTAAATAGGTTAAAAACAATGATTATAGAATGAAATAGTCTCTTATAATAACTCTTATAATAACTGATGTGACAAAGTGAACATGTCTTGCCCCTATTTTGAAAACCTATATTCTATACCTCTATTAGAATTCAACATTCTTACATTCTTAAGTTTAACAATTTTAGGTTAAATTTGTCAAAGACCTAAAAATGTGACAAAATTAACTTTCCCTGCCCCAACAATATCAAGATAGTGTGTTAAAATTGGCATACTAGGATGCTTTATTGCCTATATAAATCAATCCAAACTACAAAATATATGTTAATGTGATGACGATTACCTAACTCTTATAATAACTGATGTGACAAAGTAAACATGTCTTGCCCCTATTTTAAAGATCTATAACTCTATTAGAATTCAACATTCTTTCAGAAACGATTGGAAGAATATTGTCCAGAACATCAGAGCTCAATTTTAACAATTTTAGATTAATTTGTCAATGACACTGAAAATGTGACAAAATTAACTTTCCCTGCCCCAACAATATCAAGATAGTGCACGTTAAAATTGGCATTGGGTGCTTTATTACAGGTATTTTAATCGATCCAAACTACGAAAAATATCTTTTAATCTGATGACGATTACCTAACTCTTATAATAACTGATGTGACAAAGTAAACATGTCTTGCCCCTATTTTGAAGAACTATACCTCTATTAGAATACTATGAAACTTAATCATCACAAATTTTTCGATAAACTAGTTATTTTGCCAGCAAGGAGCTAACAGAGTTATAATAATTTTGTTGTGACGAAATTATCCTATTTTTGACCATATGTTGCGGTAGTTTAATTGTGACACTGTTAACATATTACCACCTGATAATGATTCATGTGACTGGTGCATGGTACTAGCAGTGTTGTTTGATATAAGGGTTTGATAACGTAATATAAGGGGTTTAAGCTGGTATATCATTATTTGTTCAATTTCACACATGTTCAGATATCATCAAGATTATGTGACAAAGTAAACTTGGTTGTGCCTTCTGTGTTTTAATTCCTTACGACTATATGATATAATAACAATTCCCAGCACTTTCAGGCCATCAAATAAACTTACACTACTCAGCATTGCTTATCAGGGTGCCCTAAACATTCATCACATATTTTCTTTAATGTGTGACAGAGTAAACCTGAGTGCACCATCTAACGAAAAAAGTCGTAAAATATGTAGGTAATGGTCATATGTACCCATCCAATCAACTGGACACTCAAAAATTTGGTCAAAAACGGCAGCAAGGGGTCCATATTTACTCCGTCACATGTTTATAGTGTGACAATGTAACCATTTCCGTGCCGGCCGTATTTAAGCGATATCTTATCACCTGATTAAGATATCGTTATGTGACAAAGTTAGCCTAGAGGATGATACGATTATCCTAACCATCAAGGGTTTATGTAATTTCATAGTGTGACAAATTCAACTACACTGTGCCATTTAATAGGGTCACTTATATTTACCAATATCCTCAAACTCAAATGAACGTGTCCTTATATTATAGGACCTTTGGCTTATATACTGTTACCTTAACTTTGTTATCTCTCAGGATATATTGTTAACTACATGTACTTGTGCTAACGTAGACACATGGCTCTGTAAAGTCGATTAGCTTATACTTGTGTTTGGCCGGTTCGTCATGGAAATAGTGTGATTCATCAAATATTACTTATTGGGTTGTACTCTTGGGTTGTACTTGCACATAAGGCCCCAAATTTGGACCGGGTATATTACAACTTTTCATTTAGGAGTTACAATTTTCATTTAGGAGTTACAGTTACAAATGTTTTACATTATGGAGCCTAGCTAGGGTATGGACTAGTTAAACGTAATTAAAACGTTACTCAAATTATTTTTTTAAATAGTTGTACATTTTTTCATTTTTATCAGAACGAATAAATAATTAATATTTGATAATTTATTTATTCGATAGTTTAGTCTGATATTGATATTGATATTAACCCATTAGGGACGATAGGGTCGTTTTTAGGACCCACCTTTTCTAGACGAAAAACCAAATTACTAAACGCTATAACGAATCTATAGCATATATGCTCAAAATTTATTGGGCTACATAATCACCCTACGCGCGTGGGGTGGACTCCTGGGGTGGACTTTTATTCAGCGCGTATTTTGTAGCCTGTTCAACTTGACGTTTTGAATCGTTACTATCTCAATGTCACAGATACACAGAATGTGAGGTGATCATCTTAAAGAGAAACGTCTCAGCTTTCACCTGGTGTAAAGTTTATCTTTGTTCTCAAAATATAGCTCGCTCAGTGTGCAACAGAAGTTGACATTACAATAACCACGTCCGCGACCGGTCGTCAGATACCGGAGTCTTGCACAAAATTGGGTCCCTAAATTAAAATTTTATGACACAGTTACGATGAACTAGTGTCTAGGGAAACATTTGGTGAAAATTTGAAGGGTCTACTGTTAATATTGCAAAAGTTATTGAAAACAAACTAGCTTAGTCAGAAGTTTTTGGGAAAATTTCAAATTTTGTACGTAGTGGAGTCTACTGGGGTGGACTCTCGTGACGCGCATCTGATGGCGTGGCTTTTTCAACAGCAGTCAGTACGGCCAATATCAGAGCACAAATTATTGTGAGTAAGACATTAATGGTCAGCTATGAACCCCTCACTAGAATAGTAACCGTATCTAAAAACAAGGAAATGTTATTGTCAAAGCTCAAATTTTTTACTCTTCTCAGTGCAGTTACTTATATGAATGTACTAGCTAAGTATCGTTGATCGTAGCTGCATTACACAGTAGAAGGTAACCAAGGAAGACTGCTGATTAACGAAGCAATTTCAACGTGAACAGTTCCAAAATACATAATCATGGCGACGATAGTTCAACTTGAACCTTTATAGTTTTTACAGTCTAAGATCACAATAAAATCACGTGAACTGCGAATCACAAAATCAAATCACTCAAATCTGATACAGTCCCGTTACAGTACGCTTTCGTGACAACCTCAACGCTTAAAAAAATAAATATTCTGCAGTCTTGTGACCACCGATGGCCCTAACTCTCCCTTGTCCGCGAGGAGCATCGTTGCGACCATGGGTTTCAGTTCTTTGTTCTTCCCACTCGGCTTCGATAGATCGAATTGGCTGGAAGTCAATCTATCAGAAAGACCTTTGTCGATCTCAGGGGCGTGGTAAATTGTGGATGTCGGAGTATAAAGCTTCCTGAAAAGATTGAGACATTCACTCGGTATGTTGTAAATATCGAATAGTCCTTGTAGGCCGAGATTTAATTTATGTTGGGTTTGATAACTAGAGAAGGCGATTTGATATTCATTGATAGTATAGGAGTATAAGCATATAAGCATAAGTGATAAGTTTATATACCCTTTTTATGGTACCTCGATATCAGTATTGAGTAATCATCACTCAAAATCTACTTATTAAATTTATTAACTAAACAAGTTAATGTATTACCGTCCTAGAGAGGTTTTCCTGAGAATTTGAAGTCTCTGTAGGTTGCTGACATGTCTACTAAGCTCTTCGATTGAGGAGTTTTGGACCCCTCGGCGGTCCAAATGATTTATAATGCTGTGGGCATTTTCAACATCTATCGAGCTAAACGCCCTCGCAGCATAACCTGTAGAGAATGAACATGTCATCAATGCAAAGTTCAATGATAAAAATCAGAGTGGCTGATTTCAACGGGCAGAATTCGAATATCATGGCCTTGGGGAATGGACTATTTTTTGTCGATTTTACTAACCAAACTGGCAAACGATTGTTGATTTTCGTCACTAGTCTAAAATGAAAGCAAACGTTCGGCCGAACATTTACATGATTAAAAACTTACCGGTTTCTTTCGTTATTATGTACAGACATAGCCGGGCTTGGGTTCTGCATACGATATCTTCTATCAGATTTAAGTTGAACCCACACTTTGTACTGCTCGTGGGAGGAGAAAAGCAAACTGATACCTTTTCCATGAGCATCTCGTGTAGTACCATCATCATTTCGATTCTGATATCAGCTGCAAAATTCGTCTATTACTAAATGCTAGCTTTTCGAACTTCGTATCTTGGAAATAACAACTTCTATGAAAGAACACACACACACACACACACACACACACACACACACACACACACACACACACACACACACACACACACACACACACACACACACACACACACACACACACACACACACACACACACACACACACACACACACACACACACACACACACACACACACACACACACACACAGACGCACAGAGACACACACTCACTCACTCACACACACACACAGACAGACAGACACACAGACAGACAGACAGACAGACAGACAGACAGACAGACAGATACACACACCCACAAACACATACAGACATAGACACACAGACACAGCATAAACACAGACACACACAGACACAGACGGACACACAGACAGACACAGATACACACAGACATACACACACACCCACAAACTCACCCACAAACACACACAGACACATACACACACAGACACATACACACACAGACACATACACACACAGACACATACACACACAGACACACACATAGTTCACTTCAGTACACTACATTACAATTACAGACACACGCAGTACAATCAGAGACACACACTCGATACAAAGACAGACACAGGCACAAACACACAGAGTACACTTCAGTACAATCACAGACGCAGGCACAAAGACATATACAAGAAGAGCAGATTGAAGTACCTTCATTTGCAGATGTTGACGCATTGATCTCAATGAAACAAGAAATTTCAATGAAACAAGAAATTTAATTTTAGCACATTTTACAGAATAAAAGATGTAAAACAATTCATAAAATATAATGCCCATTTGGTGTATGACTTTTTGTCCTTGACTGCTTGTTTGGTTTTGGAAGGACAGGTAACTAACGGGGCAAGGAATGCGCGTGCCTGGGAGCTTTTGCACACACCAAAACGCTAGTTCAGTTAAGTTTTTAGAGACAAGGCTCACATTAGGACTATACGAAAAATTGTTAGCAGACATTAGGGGTTCTGTTTAAAGTTTTTACTATATAGGTTGCAGTCCTGTTGTGACAAAAAGTCTACACTAAAACATGCTTGATTTTATATTGTGTAGTTCAAGGATTAAAAATGCACCTTCAAGGTGGATATTGGAGAGCAGGCGAAAGATTATGGCTTAAATTTATCAATGGTTATAATAAGCTATAAATATTTTAAACTATACAATGCTAATTAAAAATTTCTTTATACTTCATTCTCAAATTTAAATTTAAAAATTCAAAAATATACATTCATTTTATTAAAACTTTCTCACACATACTTTACTCACAGGACAAGACTTGGAAAACAGTAGCCTAGGGTAATTTAATTTAGATGTGTGTGACCAGCCAGTTATAATGTTTGGAAAATAATATTTGTGCAGTCAAAGTCTTTTACGGTCCAATCAAGCAGGGCGTGGTTATGTTGATTAGCTAGTAGCGCACGTTTTAGCTTTCCTCGCAAGCACATTACACTAGTAGTAAAATCAGTCATTCTGAACTTTGGGGTTAAAATGTTAAAAATTTTGGTTGATCTAGTGTTGTGATTGTCAGGTGGGTCTGCCTGACAGATTAGAAGGCAGGGTTTCCTTGATGAACATGTGTAACCCTCATGTAAGGATATTGGAGCACGGAATTTCATTATCTTGTAGAGCTCCAGGTAACTGTGGTATGTATATAGATTTTGTATAGCTAGAATGTTATTATGCTTGAATATCGGTTTGGTGTGCTCTTTTATGAAGAATTTTTGGTCTAGTTTCTGGTGTCCTATAGGCCTAGTACGTGCACAAGTCTTAAACTTATCAATCTGTGGGATATGTTCTTCAGTCTGTAACTGATCATCTGCTAGAACTGTCTCATCTGGATCAACCGGAGGAGTATCTTCCGGCAGGAGTCTGAGTGGGTCTATCGGGACAGCCATGGATCGCTCTCCGTACCTTGCTGAAATAAAGACAAAGGTCAACGACGGATGTCGCATGTCAGTCCTGTAACTAAATGTAATGCAAAATAGTGAATAAATAATTTTTACATCTGAACGATTGTTCATTGATTCTTTGAATCTGTTCATTGATTCAAAGAATCAATGAACAAAAGTTCAGGATTTTACCTTCTGTTAAGCTGTTAGCACTGACTCTAGCCCCCTCTCCCTACAAAACGACCATATCTCGGGCTGGAGCTTTCAACCGTCTTGCCTCAGCAGCCATCTAGCACAGTCGACCTGTCCTGTTAATTATGTGATCATCAAGTTACCAAATTTAATCCTTCAATATTCAAATAATTGATTATCAGACAAAACAGAGTTTAGAGCTCGACGTATGCTTCAGGGTTTCACACTGTGCTGTAATCAAACGCATGACTAAAACCTCTTGCTACTATTACCAATGTTAGATAAACCCATATTGTTAAGGCGGTCAAATGATTTACCTGAGTTGATCGCGTCCATGAAAGGGTTCAACTGCGCTCTGTCCAGCTTGTTAATGTCCGCTCCAGCAGCCAGCAGTGCCTCCGCCTCCGTCACTCTCCCTGCTTTGCATGGCCAGTGAAGCGTAGAGCTCCCCTCTAAGCTCTGTGACGATCCGACGAAGGATCCAGATTCCCTTATTTTCTCTTGAGATTGCTTCAATTCTTCCTGGAGTATGCGGATTACCATTTTTATACTTCCATGCAGGGCGCGTGAACAATCAGCAATGAATTATCAATTAATCAATCTAGTTTTTGAGTAAAAAGTCCACAGATTGTGATACATTGGATTTGATATTGGAAAATACATGGCTTACCAAGTACCTTTTCATGTGCTTTTTGGAGGACAGGGATGACTTATTCCTGCGTGCCATTTCACCATAACTATCTGCTGTAACAGCAAAAAATTGGAACATTGTAGTTAATCAGTGTGGTGCTAACAACAGAGAGCGATTTGAACGGTAGGCAATTTCATAAATTTCATTAACTCGATATAAGGATGATTGGAACAGGCTAAAATCTACAATGTGGCATTAATAACTGGCTATATCGCTGCATTAAACGATTAAAGTATTGCTAACTATGGATATTCTAAGTGATCTAGGCAGAGGGGAACCGGCACAGCCAGATTGCCTTGTCTTCACTTTCAGTGACTAAGTTTCACGATAGAAAAATTGACCTTATGTATTTAAAAAAAAGGATGCACAGTTCAAGCAATAAATCGATCGGCTGCTCATATGATATTTGCATTTAAAGGAGGGCCCAGTGCAGTGACCAGTAAGTCTGTTAAGGCAACATTTAGATCTGAGATAAGCTGAGTCTTGACAAAGATAAGTGAGTTTCGAGAAAGTGCACACGGATAAAGTTATCGAGTGACAATGATAAGACTAAGTTAGGGTCAAGTCAACAGAATGGCAGCTGTAACAGAAACAGTTCATTGGATAGGGGAGTAGGGGATTATGACGGAGTGAAATTTATTTAGCAGGGCAAACAAAAAACAACTGACAGCACTGAGCAAGTGAACTGGAAAATTGAGGAACGAAAATAACAGTGGTTGTCAGCCCTTTCCGTAGCAATCAGGATTTCCCAGGAGATCGATCAGGCAATCAGGATTTCCCACGAGAATGCTCGAGCCAACGCGCGCACTTGTGTCACGTGACGGCCACGTGACGCTCTAATCGTTGTCACGTGGTACAGAAGGGAGGTTCCTAGAGCGTCGATCCCGACAAGAGGAATTTTCTCACGGTTTATCTTCAATAACTATAGCTATTTTTATAGTAGAGAGTTGAAACTTTCACCAAATGTTTCCCTAGACACTAGTTCATCGTAACTGTGTCATAAAATTTTAATTTAGGGACCCAATTTTGTGCAAGACTCCGGTATCTGACGACCGGTCGCGGACGTGGTTATTGTAATGTCAACTTCTGTTGCACACTGAGCGAGCTATATTTTGAGAACAAAGATAAACTTTACACCAGGTGAAAGCTGAGACGTTTCTCTTTAAGATGATCACCTCACATTCTATGTATCTGTGACATTGAGATAGTAACGATTCAAAACGTCAAGTTGAACAGGCTACAAAATACGTGCTGAATAAAAGTCCACCCCAGGAGTCCACCCCACGCGCGTAGGGTGATAATGAAGCCCAATAAATTTTGAGCATATATGCTATAGATTCGTTATAGTGTTTAGTAATTTGGTTTTTCGTCTAGAAAAGGTGGGTCCTAAAAACGACCCTATCGTCCCTAATGGGTTAATATTGATTATATTGACATTTTCATTATTGAATGAAGCTAACTCCAGACATAAATAATATTAATCTTTTTAACAAAGGGACTTGGAGTATAAACGATCAAGTTTGCATAAATGTTTATCCATCCAAGAATTCAGGAGGCAAGGGTGGGTGGGTAAACTTTATGCTTTACGGTCTGCACGCTCTGATCCTGCATCACCTGGGATTATTTTTTAACGTATTTTTGTAAAAGGTATAAATAACTTCTAGTCACTCTCTTGCTACTCCAAGTCCCCTAAGATATCTGGTATAAAGTTCGTGCTAGTTATATATATAAAATATATTTTTGTCTGCTTTAACTGAAACTAAATAAAATTGTTGTTTTCTTAAAAATTGTTTTTTCTTGTGCTGAAAGTACTTAAAGTATGTGAGACGCTTGGCAGGTTATCAGTGAGTTGAAAGATACTGGGGATTGGGATCACGTGAACTTCTCTCTATACCATTTTTCTACACCATGCATTTTCCGTTTCCCCGAGAAGCCTGGTATGTAGAGATTTTATTGAGTATATTTTGTCACCATAGTCCGCTGTCACTTTAAGTGTTGTGTCTGAAGAGAAATTAAAGAACTTGTTTTGAGTTCTTTCCTGGACAACTGCCATGGGATGCCTCCTTCGTCAATAAAAATCCTTTGTTGGACCCGCAAGTTCCTGGCACTGTTTGTTTGGGGACCGGTTTTTTATACCCGGCCAATGTTTACAAAATAATATAATACATAACAATATAATTTTATTTAATATGCGTGAATATGAAAATTGAAAATGTTGATTACGTCTATTCATTAAAAACAAAAACAGAAACTTTAAAAATTAAAACTTGTATATCACTTTATCAGTTGCTGTGAATATGAAATATATATGTATGTATGTGAATACAAACGCACACCCTCACAACGGCTCTTAAACATTTTGGTCAACTCCAGAGATTCTTCACTGTGGAGGCTGTAGCCAAATTTTCAATAAGAGACACTAATCCACATCTATAAAGTTATGAATTTTATCACAGCCTCCCCCCTAAAAAATGTCTTGCATGCACAAGGAAAGCAATGGCGAGTCCTCTAAAAATTTCCACTCAAATTGAAAATTTGGCTCTACCAATAACCTTGATTTTTTATTTATAATATTGATTATTCATAGCCAATTTCGAATGCCATCACCAACTAGGTGACAGAATAATCTGTCAATGCAACATGCATCTGGTTCATCATCCAGAACAAACAGGAAAGCTTTATAAAGCATGTTTAACTTTTTGCGTGTTTTTGTGTGTTCAGGGACTCCAAGAAATATTACCTTGCTCTTACCTTGATCTTACCTTGATCTTCCCTTGATCTTACCTTGATCTTCCCTTGATCTTACCTTGATCTTACCTTGATCTTACCTTGATCTTTCCTTGATCTTACCTTGATCTTACCTTGATCTTACCTTGATCTTACCTTGATCTTACCTTGATCTTACCTTGATCTTACCTTGATCTTCTCCCTCTTGCTACCCTGTTTTCCTTCATTCAGCTTAACCTACTCCTACTCATGCATTTTTCTCATGCATTTTAAGTACTTGCTAATTAACTTGTGGTGGTGACCGCTGGCCTTCTACAAGAAAGTGACAGAAATCAAATGGCAAATTGAGGACTCCTCTCATAACAATGGAACATTGTGGGATTTGGCAGGTTGCATATTTTTGCATATTTTTGTTTTGTTAGTTTCTCACCCACTATCTACAGCTAATCATGGCGAATTTTCATCAAAATCAAATCAGTGCATTCTTACACATTGCTTTTACTGCCCCTTTGCTAAGTTCTATACTTGAAAGTATGGAAAAATATATAGGGTACCACTAAACTACATAATTATAGTTTGATACCTTAAAATCAGCAATTGTGGTAAAAACTCTCCATTATTCAATTTAACTTTCCTTGTACATAGATGTACTAGTGTAACCCGTGCCTACGGCCGGGACCTTACTATTGCAGTTGAAATGCAAAAGTATAAACCCGCCTATTATATTTGAAAACACGCATAACATTGTCGTATGAAAGTATGAACTCTCTCTACCAGTCCAAACAGACCGCAATGAGTGCCCCCTCCCCTAATAAGCTTATAGTATTACATGACAGTGAATCTTACGCGGCTAACCTAATTATAATTCATGTACCAACGCTACATATGCAGCTTTATAAAATGCATTAATGGGAGAGGGAGCGAGGAGGGAGAAAAAGTGAGCCATTTTATGTCACATTTGTCGTACAAAACCATCAATTAAACTACTTACCACCGACCGATTTAAAAAACCTTTATCATTTGGCTTCGTCAGAGTTTTCTCGGCACTTTACCGAAAGATCCAGTCCCGTAACTCTAACCGTTTTCTTGATTAAGCCGCTCGGAAATTACACACGCACACACAGACAGACAGACACACAAACAGACACACATTCTAAGATTATTATTTAAGATGGCCATTTGTATGTAGTTGAAAGCCCTACTTATTTCCAAATTCCAATTACCACAACGATGAACAAATTCTTATTGCATTGGACGCACATTTAATAAAAGCAATTTCACTAGCTCACATTTTTTATGATCATATTTTGTTCCTTGTACATGTCTATCAAACTCTATGTCAAAAAGTATCACAACAACGTGAAGCCAATGTCCAGGCACACTGATAATCTTGTTTACTGAGCCTCAATCCGGACATTGCAATGTAATGGAATGTGAGTAGAATATTCTTTAGACAAGGGATAAAAATATCAGAGTTATGGAGCAGTATTACCTTGTACAAACAATAAGATAGTGAAAAGTTTGCTGAGAGAGAGCAGTCAAAGAAAGTCATGTTGCGTAGGGAGTAGGAACAAAATAGGGATGTTTGAAAGTGACCAAGAGGTCATATGATGACTTTTTCACTATTTTTATCACACTCAAGTAGTAATACAGCTGGCACAGCATTATGCCATAAAACCCAAACCTCGCCGAGCTATCCACATACTGGAAACTGTTCATGTTTTGTATTCAGCCAAGGTACAAGCTCTCTCTATTTGTACGAGGTTCTCTCTGCTTGAACAGGGTTTAGCTCTCTCTATCTCTCAATGTTTCTGGAAACAGACATGATATAGGCTATGTATATGTAATTTAATTTACTCTCCGGAATATCCTCCGATTTGATTTAATTCCAATCTGAAGGTTTCTGGAGAAAGATATGATACTTCGTATGGAAGATATTCCACCCACTTTTGCTACGTCATCAAATTGAAGTAACGTACCAGTTTTGTTGTAAACTTACATTGAAGTAACGTACCAGTTTTGTTTTAAACTAACATTGAAGTAAATGTACCAGTTTTGTTGTACTTTTCTCTCCATTTTCTTAAAAATTGATAAATGTCATTGAATTGCACACATTTTACTTGCGAATTAAAAATATACAGGCAACCTGTTTCACGGCCAAATAATTTGCACGCAGTAATCGATACGCATGTTGTGTCTGGCCAGTGTCAAGTCAGCAGGAGGACCGGCCACTGCACTGTAATTGATATAGTTGATCCCAGAAACTTGGGTACTGGACAACAAAATGCAATTATAGTATCGATTTTTAAAATCTAACACTTATTTTACTTCGGAAATTTCAACAGCCGCTTTTTTACACAAGTGTAACCAGTCAAGAGAAAATTTTAATGTTTGAGCACGTTCACAAATTTTTTAGCTCAAATAATACAGTGAAATTGAAAAGAAAGAGGCAAAAAAATCGGACATATTTTATTTGAGTGAAATAATATAGTGAAAATTTGCCCATGGAACTAGAGGGTTGTGGCCATGCATTTCATGTCAGGCAGCTTTAACTTCTGACCAGAAATTCATGGTTGCATTTTTGGTACTTCCTAAACTGTCCATAGAAAAGGTCAAATGTTCCCCCTCACACTTACATCATTGATATATCATTTCAATGGAAGCCTGGAATAGTCTTGGTCCTCTTTAAGCCATTTTAAATAAAACTTAGATAATTGATTTGATTGTTAATCTGTTCTTATTATATATATTTCTTTTTTTTAAATCTTATTATTAGTTCCGCACTATAGGAACCAAATTATATTTTGTTGAATAAGCATTCTCCAAAGTCCAAATAGCTTTAATGCAGTATTTCTGTTTTCCTGATTCAATTAAGATACTATAACATATCATCATTTTAGCAATTCAACATGTCTAGTCTACCCTCCCTCGCTTTGGACCAACCATTATCAGATTTTTCAGCTGCTGTTAGTGTAAGCTGAGAATTTCTTATTGTTTCAAGCATGACTATTTACAGTTTTTTATCCTTACACATCGTTTCAGGAAAACTTGATAAGAATTCCTGCGGGACATTTTATCCGAGATGCCAGTAAGGCAGTAAACGAATCAATCTATTGTGTTTTCTCTTAATGCAATCTTTCAGCCATAAAAAATCTGAACTAACAACTGGTTTCTAAATTTGCCAAAAAGTCTGATGATTCATTTTAACGTCCCAACATTCTGTTTGATAATCAATCTCATTACTTTGCAGGGACGAAAGAAAATAACAGACGCCTTTATAAACCAAGCGTATAAGGAGCTTGTCGAGAATCCAATGGAAGCTTACAATATGGATGTTCAGTCACCTTCAGTTCCTATATCCTTCTTGTACGACCTTTCTAACGAACCTTCTTCTAGGTAAACATTAAACACGATACAATTCTTTTCTAAATATAATAACTATCAAATTTCTCCCTTTAGAATTATAACGGTAAATTGAGCATGCTCTTTTTTCTTCAATAAAAAAATCGAGGGAGTTATTTTGGGAAAAATAAACTTAATTTAGTTTGAATGTAACAACGATTTACAGAAACGGGCAGAGTAACATTGGATTACTCAGGACAGCCTCCAGTAGCGACATTGCCTCTTTTAATTTTGACGAGGTAAGAGACGTCAACAGAAAACATCCCAAACAGCTAGTTTTGGGTTAATCACTAAACTGTTTCAGTTACCAGCTAGATTTTAATATATTCATAGAAATGTATAGAACTAAAGCATGATTATTCTAATAATCCCCACTAGAGCCTGTAAAAGCTGCTTACATGTGAACAAAACTTGAGGCTAACCAGAGCTGCTACCATTTTATTTATCGTAAATTATTACATGTACCCGGTACCTTTCAGAGTAGAGTCAACCATGCCCTGTACCGTACAGAGTAGAGGCAACCATGCCCTGAGAAACGTTATTACATGTACCGTGCAGACTGCAGAGTAGAGGCAACTATGCCCTGAGAAACGTTATTATATGTACCGTGCAGAGTAGAGGCAACCATACCCTGAGAAACGTTATTATATGTACCGTGCAGAGTAGAGGCAACCATGCCCTGAGAAACGTTATTATATGTACCGTGCAGAGTAGAGGCAACCATGCCCTGAGAAACGTTATTATATGTACCGTGCAGAGTAGAGGCAACCATGCCCTGAGAAACGTTATTATATGTACCGTGCAGAGTAGAGGCAACCATGCCCTGAGAAACGTTATTACATGTACTGTGCAGAGTAGAGGCAACCATGCCCTGAGAAACGTTATTATATGTACTGTGCAGAGTAGAGGCAACCATACCCTGTGAAAAGTTGTGTGTACACTGTACAGACAAAATAAACTTTTGTACAGACAGGAATTCAAATTGTTTTACCGCAGGCAAAAACTTTAGACAAATTTGCTGACAAGGCCTAGAATCAATTTGGCAATAGATATCATTATCAAACACAGTATTTAAAAACAATTCAAATAATGAGATTTGAAATGTATGTATTACGGCCTGCCAGCAACAATTGTGAAATAATAATCCCCACTAGAGCCTGTAAAGGCTGCTTACATGTGAACAAAACTTGAGGCTAAACAGAGCTGCTACCATTTTAGTTATCGTAAATATTATTATTATTTTCAGGCCGAAATGTATATATTACGGCCTGCCAGCAACAATTGTGAAATAAGTGTGGTTCGAAAAAGACGATGTAAATTGTAGGCCCTTGAAAATATTTTGGGATTGAAATCTTACCATGAGAGATGATAAGTCTAATCAAGTTTCGCTTTAAATAATAAACTTGTGAAAATTAAACTCCGGCAATTCGGTAATGTAGCTACGCACGGTTAAGGCACGGTTAAAGCACGGTTAAGGCACGGTTAAGGCACAAGGGTAACATAAGGCACGGTTGAGGCACGGTCACTTAAGGCACGGTTAACGCACGGTTAAGGCGCAACCTCACTTCCCACCAGGAAGCTTCCTCCCTATCCAGCGGGAAGGTTCGTGCCTTTCCACAGGAGAGCTTTCTATCGAAGATATCCTACCAACAAAATATTATCGAAGTTTCTCCGGAAACAAATTTTCCCCGAAAAAATTCGATCAATCATTCATACAATTACAAATACTAGAACACTCTAGCCAATGAATTTTTGCTTCTCTTCACTTTAAACAAAGGAATGTAGTATCAAGACTGGTATTTGTCTTGTGTCAAACCTGTCGATCCTGATAAACCAGTCCGTTCTCAGTTCATATCATATCATTATCACGATTACAAACTCTCTTATAAATTAGTCGAATGAATATTTACACGAATAGCGATGATTCGTCATCATGTCATCAAGTCATCAAGTCGGTCATCTCTCACCTTCGAAAAGTTTGGGTTGATTTTGGTATGGTAATCGGTTTGACACCTACGGGTCTGTCTGTAATTTGTGCTCGTTCACTCTTCTTCCGGTGTGTTCCACTTCCCACTTGATCCCGGATCAATTTAAAAGCTAAAAGGATCAACTGTGAAACGCTCAGTCTCCATTTATATTTCCGATTCTGATGTTTTCTCCTAATCACGCAAACACAAATGTGTCAGCAATGGCGCATATATCAAACGAGGCGATCATCAGCCATAACTGTCATGATCTCTTACTGTGTGCCATCAAGAGGCTTAGTGAACCGGCTTAGTAACCGGCTTAGTAACCGGCTTAGTAACCGGCTAATTGTACCGGCTCCAGTAGTAACCGGCTTAGTAACCGGCTACTTGTACCGGCTCCTGTAGTAACCGGCTTAGTAACCGGCTTAGTAACCAGCTAATTGTACCGGCTCCAACAGTAGCCTAGTGTATATATGAACTATATAAACCTGGCTCCCAAACATGATCGTTTACACAGGACTGGTTAAACTAGCTGTATATGATATAGTCTTGTTAAACTAGAATATCATCAATATCTTGACTCCTTTTTTCTTTATATTGAATTATATATTCTATATAATATTAGAATTTAGAGTTCTTATGAATATTTTTTGTTCTCCCTTGCATAGTTAGATCGGAAACGCTGCATAGTTAGATCAGTTTTTGGTTTACCTTCTTCAAATCAGAAAATGACATCTTCAATTTGTTTGACAGTTCTAAATTTTGGTAATGGTAAACAATATATATATTCTTTTTGAACTTATTAGCAATTAGACTGTTAGCTCGCTTCACAAGCATGTCATCTTCGTTCCAAAACTATTTATGTCCTATGCATACACTCCTTGATAGTTATCTTGATCTAGTATCTTTGTTTCACACAATAGAGCATAAGTTTTGTGGTTTATCCACTGGGCTTAGAGTTTGTGTTTAAGCTACCAAATTTTATTATCATTTATTATTATATAAACCATTTATTTGTTCAACTTCTGAATGCTCTGGACAAAGTCATTATTTCACCACAGCTTTAGTTTAACATCCCATCTTATATTGAATCAGGCTTATTTCTAATCATCATTAATCGTTATTTCTAATCATCATCCATAATAATATCATCTGGCACCTGTTTTGTCGTGCAACATTATTTTGAAAATCTTTGGGTTGTGTTTTAAAGTCACACTTGCATGTTTTAACTATATATATAATGATTCGATAGCATATATTATGTTTCTCCATCGCAATCCAATTTAACATATTTGTTGGTTAATTCTGTATTCTTGAGCACTTGCAGTCTCCCAATGATTGCATTATTGTCCGATCTGGAGGCTTCCTAATGGGGCAAATTCGCTTTTAAACTCCACAAATGTTATGCTCATACCTATTTTGTATGACTGATTTCAAAAAGATATATTCATTATAGACTAAGTAATATGACAAACTAAGTTTAAGTAGTATTTTCCTTACATTCGTACCGGGTACCTGGATATTAGGATAAGTAATTATGACAAATATTTCCGAGAAAATGAAAACACGTTGCAAGCCGTACCTTAGTTTCCTGGAACGCTGGTCACATATAATAACCTATATATTAACCTACACCCGAAGTTTCAAGTAGATTACATTATGTGATCCAGGTTAGTATGGGTAGTTGTGTGGAGGTATAGAAATTCAATAAGACCTCCAGATGTGGCCAGTATTAATCACATACAGATTATATTACAAAATTATAAAACTGAACCGTATTGACACTTTTCCAAAGTTGCCTTTAAGCGGCAAGGTGGTACACCTTGAGAAAACCGCTCCTTCCCCGCCTCATAACGTTTTTATCTTTTAAATATTTCGTAAATTCGATTTCGCTGAGCTGCAGGATACACACTCGCTAAGCGGCTGGATTATTGTGAAATATTATGTCTTGTGATATTATAAAGGAGTACATGCTGGAGCTGTAAGAGTGTACTTCCTGGAGAGAGTGCTTTACTAGCCGTGATAAAGTGGCTTGTAGTCAGTGTACTGTAGAGGCAACTGTCTGCAATGTTTGTTGAGACACTATGATAACTGATAAGCACACATTAATTTAGAGAAGTTGCCGCTTCTATTAAAATATAGTGCAGTGTAAATAAATACCAGTTATTGAGCAGTGACCGGTTATGGGTGCCAAGATGAAAGCGGAAAGTAATAATTTGTCGGAAAAGAGCAGACGTGTGTAAAGTCGGAAAATAATGACCTTAATCGCGCGGTAATTCTGTAAATTATTATATTTAATCATAAATTAATAAATGGTCTTTTTGTGCTCTTTTAATAATTTGTTGTGTTCTGTGTTAACAACAGGGTATTTTACAAGATTGTGTTAATAATTAATATGAGTAACGCTGAGTTGTAACATGTCGTTTTTACTACTCATGTTTCGTAATGTTTAGCTCTTAAATGTTGTTTCACATTCGAGTTGGGTGACTTCGTTGAAGATTTAAATTTTCATATAAAAGCAATTATATTGTGCATGACGTACGAAAGACCGATTACCTTGAATTTTCTCTTATCACTGGTCTTCGTTGGTAACGTTTTACAGTTGAAACTACTTATTCATAGATACTAAGTATCTTCATACGTAATGAAGGAACCCTGAAGTCATAATTTCAATTATAAGAGGTTTTCACCGACACAATTTACAGCTGAAACCAATCACTAGTTATTGGAACGAAACCGTGATAGATATGGCGATTACCTTGTAACAGTATGAAGTCGCCTCGAAGTTGGCACGTTTCTCTAATTTTATCAATATTAAATCCTAATCACGTGACTTGGACTCCATATTGTGAAATTTTACTTTCTGTTTCAGAAATAAGGCGGTAAAAATACAAAGAAATGTATGCGAGATAATTGAAATTTAAATTTTGACCCATATCTGCCGACTTCAAGGCGACTTCTTGTTCTTGAGTCCTTTAAAGGTCGTTCATAAACCGTCCACGAGTAGTTCATGAGACCTTCATAATTCCTTTCATAATTCCTTCTTAGGTCCTTCATAGGTTCCTAACAAGGCTACATGGGGTTTTATTATTGAATAGATTCCGCTGAAAACCTTATCAGTAAACCGTCTGATAAGAGCATGATGTACTTGTGGGTTTCAGGCGGGTTTCATAAGTCGTCCCACTCTTGTCTGGACCGGGAAATGGCCCGGAAAATGAGAATCCGGAGCAATTTTTCATAGATTTAAAAGAAGATAAAAAAGAAATGCTGAA